CCCCAGAACATCATAAATGAAATAACTCTTCATTTAAATAATTTAAATAAACATTTGGTCAGACAGCCAAAACAGAAAGAAATAAAGACTAGAGGTCATTCAACTTTTGGTTTGGAACTGCTTGTGGTTACAAGCATTACCAAATGTTATCTCCAGTTGAGCATCACTTGAGAAGATAACATGCTTCACTATCAGCAAAATCCAGTGAGATATCATGTTTACATAATAATTTTCTTATGGTAGTTATGTTTCTGTTATGAATTGCGAAAATGCTCTAAAATATAACATATCTATGTAGAGACTATTATATAAGTATTAATGTCATTTCAAAGCCAACGATTATGATAAAAATGACATATGTATTTGTCAGATAAAATGTATTTATGGTACATGTAACAATATTGATGCATAAGCGTAACAACACACATATAACATTTTCTGTTTTCTTTTAAAAATGATTATTATATATTACTGTATCTAAGACACAAATTTGCATCTGTGCAGTACTCAAGAAAACCTTCATATATTTTAACCACAAAAAGGCTTTTTTGTTATCACCTAGCTTAACAAGGACACTGTTCTTTGTAATGCTTAATTACAGTAAAAGTGATAAAATAATTCTCCACACTATTGATTTAAACTCGTAGGAGAAAAGATGATGTTTATGTGTACGTATACCAGAGTTATGGACACACCAAGTGTCAAAATTGTTTGCAAACTCTTCGAGTAAATCTTGTTTGCTTTTGAACACCTTGCAAAAATGACTACATATTGCGAAAATAATACTGTATTGTGAAACTAATTCCTCTTGACTTCTCCAAGAATCAATTGCATTATTAATGGAACAAAATGAAATAATGTTCTCAAGATTACCACACTACAGTATATCAAAAGATACATCCAATTAACCTATTACCTTTTAATTTAGCTTCCGTTTCTGTAACAGTACATTTAAGAGCTAATTCCTTTTAATATCTGAACAAAAAGTTATGATTGTAACAAAATATGGTTTTGTAATAACAAAAGAAATTGTAAAAATGCAAAGCAAAATTTAAAACCTGTCTGTGAAGACCAAATAAATCAGATGATTTTTTCATATGTTTAAATAAAGATATAATGAATATTTTACTTCTGGTTACTTCTTCTTTATTACGCCGTCTCCCGAATATTTTACTTCTGGTTACTACTTCTTTATTACGCCGTCTCCTTTACAGGATATGGCGAAATATTATGAACAGGATCCTTCCATCCTTTTCTCGGACTGGGACCTGTTCATACATGTTTTTTATGCAGGTGATACAGAAGTGGTTTGCCATTGCCTTCTTCTGTGTATGTATGGAGTAATTGTTGGGATGCCACGGAGAAACCGGGGAAGCCCCAGAGGAAAACTCCGTAATTCCTAGACCACAGCCTTGCCCAACTACTACTGTTTACAAATATTAAAATATGTGGGTAATGACATATCATTCACAATATATTTCTAAATGTAAAAATAATTGATTGTAAAAATCTAAAAACTGTTAATTTAAACACAAATAAATTTGATCCCCAGAGTCATAATGTTATTTTAAATGTTGTGTTCTTTGAACTGTCTGTGTATTAATAACCATGGAATGAATATCTTGTGTCACAAAAGAAGCTTCCTTAGGAGATTAAAACACTGTGTCTTCTTTGGTTACTAACTAGCAAACAAGAAATATTGAAGAGAATGAAAACATCTCACAGAGTATTTTGGATAATGATTGGACCACCAATGACTTAAAAATGTTAAACTTATATCTTAAACTCTTACTGTCCTTTTCTCTCTTCTGTTATCTTCTTTTGTCTCTCATGTTGCTATTGCTGCAGAAGTAAAGGACATGAAGATTCATGATCTGCTGAATCATTCTAATCACATTTTATAATAATAGCACTTGCTACATGAACTCCACAATTACATCTTCATCATCGCGTACGGAGCCGTAACACTCGAGCCATGAACTTAGTAATTCAAACAATACAATTTACTAGGACCAGGAGACTGCCATCGCGTGTGACATGATTTCCTCTGAAAGTTGACATTCTTGAATGTACCTCTTCAGTTTTAGTTTATCACCCGAATATTTTAAAATCGTCAAATTAGTGACATCACCACCACCAATATTCTATTAATCACTGTCCTATCTTCACATTATCCTTATTTAAAAAAATCAGCTACCTTCTGAACAAGAAATACACCTATTATATTAAAATTATAACTTATATATGTGACTCATAAGGTTAAGAAACATGAAGCAATCAAATGGTGAATATAATTATGTTTGTCTCTGATATTAGTAGTTATACTATGTTCTTCTGTTAACTGATAAAACATGTTAAATTTAGCTGAAAAATAGGATAAAGAAAACAATGATACTGCCACAGTTCTAAATCAGCAATAATCACAGCTTCTATTCTTGGACAAACAGGGTTGAAGAAAATGATAATGGTCGTGCTGAATCCATGTACCACACTACTGCTTTATGCAGTGCCTTTATGATACAATGCTAATTATACACTTTTATAAAATGTCTTTATTTTGATGTAAATTAAAATTTAATCTAAACAAAAGTTGTAGAGAAAACTTTTTAGAATTATGCATTACCATTCTATTTTATGGTGTCATTATATATAATTTAATTATAAATTTCACAACAAATTTATGTAACATATTTGCATTAGCATCACATTCACTTAAGAATTTACAGACATGCTCAGTCCTTCAGCTGCTATAATGTATATGAGATGTAAGGAACTAGCATTCTGCATTACTAAACAAAAGTTCCAAGATTTGTAGAGTATTTATAATTCACATTATCCACTGAAAATAATGATACCATTCCATGCATAATAATTTCATGTCCTTACTTTTTTTGCCTCTCCTACTGACTGGATGTAGAGGGATCAGTGTAATTAGCACACAAAATATAGCTGTTGTTTCACGTAATCATTCCAAAGAAATTAATAATAAAATGTAAAATTTAATTTACACCTGGCACAAAGTTGGTCTTTCTCTCTGAATATCTTCTCATTCCTATTACAGTCTATTCTGGTAGCTTATATCTCTGGATTACAGCTACACAGTCCCATACATTCACTGTCTTGCCAAATAGGATGAGACACAAGGATTCAGTACGACAACAATCATTTGTTTTGTGGACAGTAAACCAAATACAAGATGAACTTAATTCATTAATTAGCAGTCATGTGGCTGAGTTTAGTCAAATTATCTTCCACTTGTGCATGATCTATCTTCATTCTTTTCTTTTGTCTACCTCAGTGATCATTTAAAGCTAACTTGTTTGACTTGTGGTTGCAATACTCCATATTTCCCTCTTCAGTGCAGTGGCATTTAATAGAGTTAGTGAAAGGATTACCGCCTTGTAATCATTTTCTCACAATTGTAGACATAAGCCAACCATTAATTTATTCTGTGTTGCTATTATTGGTTTTATCTTAAAAGAACCACAGTCAACATTAGAGCAAGTGGCGGCCAATTTTCACCAGTTAAATTCTCTCCTGGTGTATAAAATCCTCGAGTACAATTCATCTTGAATTTCCCTTCCTCTCGGCAAGTCTGTATTCTTATTTTCTTCATTTCTTTAATAATTTTTCTTTGTTTCTTCAACAAAGTACTTGCAAAATTAAGACTTGTTCCTGGCTTGATTGCTTCCATGGCCCACTTTATTATTATTAACCTTCTCATTTGATGCTGCAATCTATAGGACAGTCCTAGAGTTTCTGTCTTTTGACAGACTCTGGATCACTGCTGTCGCCGCTGTCCTCCTCATCTGGGTGCAGAGGTTGTACCGGAGGGAAGTCTGGGATCTGTTCCCGGGGTGGAGGACCTTGTGGATTCCATCCTCCAGAATTCGGTCGAGGTGGGGAGCCCGACTTGGGTGTAACGTGACCACCCTGGAAGGAAAACAGTCCCGGTGACTAAAGATAGAAATATGTAATTGTATCCTTCCATATTATGTTCCTTTGATTGGGATAGTAAATTTAGGATGCCTACATGAATAGATAATGTTCCAATTTGCCTTCTTGATTAATTTATTTCTCTTCCCAATTCTTGAACTGTGATCTTAACCTTAAAGCGACATATTTATCAATTACAATATTTAAGTGTTAGATATGCCCGAACTATCCATCAGCATAAGCAACCATAAATAATGGGAAACAATATTATCATTTAAAAACCAGTTTGTGCCATTTTTATATTTAATGAATCTTGTGATACAATAGTAAATTTAAGCCGCAAAACTTGTATAACTATGAAGTTTTTTTTTATAACTTTACTCAGCAACACTTCTGATTCCTTTGCATAAACTGATCCTTCTATAATGTACAAAATCTTAAGTGTTCTGTAGACAGAAAAATAACTCTTTGCATGGTACAAATGGTGCCAAGAGTTCTTTCACCTGAGGGTAAAACTGCCAGATTGAAGCAGACTACTCACCTCCATCTAGTAAAGTAAAGTTTGTCCCGCTACGTGCCGTAAAGGCGCTTGGGGTGAGTGGAGGTATAGCTCCTCTCTTTCTTGACCTCATCACTAGATGGGGGTGAGTGGTCGGCATGACGCCCCGGGAAAGGACCCCGGTACCCATTGTAGAGGAGGCTGGGTGGGCCCCAGAGCCGGTCTGGACTCAGAGGCTAGAGGAAATATCCTCTGCCCCCGTCGGGGATTAAACCCCGGCACCTCCATCTAGTGCTGAGGTTTAAAATGTGTGCAGCCATATCTCCAGTGTGTGATGCTTAATCACAGGGACAACTTTACTTTTACATAACTTCAATACCATCCTTCCAGCCACAGCTACATTCTGACACGCTTACAGATGGACAGACAAACTAACAAGTTGAAAAATCTTTGCGAAACTGTCAAAAAATCTGAATCATTAGAATAAGGAAACCACTTCCAACTCCTGAAGTGCTGTCCTATGAACCATCAAGCTTGACACATCAAAGGGTCCAGGAATGGCGCAAACCTTTGAAGAACCATTGTTATCTAGAGCAGAATATTTGGGACAGAAACAATTTACATTTAAATCTAGTTTTATGACTGAAAGCTCTGCTACAGAGCATGAACCAGGCCTCTCAACACCCCATTCATGAACAGTGTTTCTCAAATGTGGAACCATGAAGCAACTGAATGTGAGCCTTAGAAAGGATTAACATCAATTCAAATAAACTTATAATCCTTCATGCCATGTACTTTTTGTAAGTACACAATTATTTCACAAATCAAGAATTTTTATTAAATATCGTATTATATAGACATAAGCATTTCAGGCCTCTTGAGGTCAACATGTGTCTTCTTGAGTGATTTCACTTTTTGTTAAAATGCATCTTTACAGCCTTTTTAAAAATTTAAAAACTCAAAAAATTAAAAAATTCATACCTGTTTTATTAAAACACAAGCTGGGATAACTGTATCTTGATAAAATGTACTAAAACTAACCATTTTGACAATTTTAATCTTGCATTTCCCACACACCACTTTTCATTTCATATTTAAAAATGTTGCACTTCACTGTCGATAACCTAGGTCACTACTATCTTGTTATCACACCACTTCCTTGTTCTTGTTTTAATTTTTTTATAAATTACCTGAGTTTTCTATTTCCTTCAGAAATCTTATCACTCATATTTAATGCTATCATATGACTTCAGCCCCGAAGAAATTTACCTACATTCTATATTGTATCAAAACCCAGAACTTGGTGTTATAATGTGTCACTATCATAAAATAAAAATTCACCACTAATTATGTTTCCTACGTGGATTTTTCTTCTCTGCAATATGAGGAATTTACTTCGCTGTGTTGATGTAATACAAGCATACAAAGTTGCAATTAAAAAGGGTCTAGTGTAGTGGTCCCCAAACCTTTTGTGACTACGGGCACATTTGAGATTTTATGAGATCATGGCGGGCACCAACCAATTAACAAAGTCAAATTTTCTTTTCTCTGGACAAATAAGATATGGACACCAAATAATACACAAAACAACACGACGTTTAATGATACAAGAAACCATGCAATCAAAAGTACGTACTTTTATAAGTACAATTATTATAACTCAAGTGGGAAGTTAGTGAGATGTTTGTCACTGTATTTCATCGGCCAGTTTTTCAAATTTGGGAGTGTAGAATGATGTTGCTGCTCGCAAACAATCGTCAAGATGGGCATTAGTAAATAGAGATCTGTGCTTTGATTTTATAATGTTCATGGTTGAATGGCCTTCATTATTCAGTATAACCTCTTTCCGTATCAACGTGGGCACCCAAAAAAGGCCTTGGCGGGCACCACGTTGGGGACCACTGCCTTATGCTTTTATATAATCAAGTTAGATGTCAGTGTTACCAGGCTTTAAAATAACTGACACTGGACCCTACTCTGAGTATGCAGTTCTAATTTCCCCCTCGTGTGCTACATGTCTGTCCAACTCATACAACTCGATTTAGTTACTCTAATAATACAAATAATAAATCCGAATATGGAAAAAAGAAAGGAGATGCATTACATGAAAAGAAGAGAATAATATGAATGAAAAAAATGGAAGAGAATGGGGAGGCAGAATAGAATGAAGGAGAATGAGAGGAAAATATTAGAACGAAAAACAAGAAGATGAAGAACATAAAGAAGGGTGAGAAGGGGGAAACAAAGATAAGACAAAAAGTCTTTATATTCAATTTCTGCATTGTTCATAAAACCAATACCCAACAAAAACAGACCTCTTCCTGATGACACAGGTTAAAACAGTTGAGAAACACTGTGCCATGCCAAAGTCACAAATATTTAGAAAACGGTGAGACCAGAAAAGGAAATATGTATTATTAAACTTGGCTGAGAAATGTATTTGTGGTTTTTAACTAGTTACTGCTATCAGACTGCTATATTGGAAAACCTACTTTCTCATACGAAGTTAAACAACAATACAATTTCAGTTCTGATTTTTGGTACCACAATAAATTAAATATTAACCATTTGGTTGTGATTTGTAAGTTCTGGTAGAATGAATTTTGGACATAAAAAATCTGTTTCAACCCCTTCCATGTCTGTAAGTTCAACAGTAAGACAATTATTTTGTTTCATAATTTCACGGAAACATAAAATTCAGTTAGTGGGATGACTAAATACCATGTTCTACACTCAGGAAAACGGAGGTTACATGTGCACACAATATCACTTGCCTACCAGGCTGCCTATGTATAGTAGTTATAATATTATATAACATTGAAAACACAATTACATTTGTGCATTTCGTGTATTTTAATAATCAGAGACTGTCACCAAAAATCGGCGTACGCCTGATATTGCTAAGTTAAGGGTGGAACGTCTGAAAAGAATAGATGTTCCCAGATCCTTCCATGAGCCGTAGTACGTAAAAATATTTTTCGGATTTTTCTGTGAAAAAACATGTTTTGGTATTTCTGATGTTTTATACACAATTAATAAAAAACAGGAAGGTTCTGTCTGTATCTTCATCCATTCACATCTTCCAGCTATAAAATATTATCGATAAACATCGAAAGTATACATTAAAATCTTAAAATTTAGTAAATTTATTTTCATTTGTACCGAGCCATTAGAACTACCACTTTATAAAATGCATTGCAACGGAAGAAAATTCAAATAAAACTGTAAAATATGAGACACGTATACTGTGCACATATTTTGGAAATGGGTCATTTCTCAGACATTTGATAAAAATGTTTTTGAGTCAAATGCTCAATCTATCTATTGAGACTGGAACTGTATCAAAGCCAAGAATTAGAATCTTTCACCACTTATTAAATAATTCCAGTGATATTTAATTAATTCAAATTTCTGTCACCACCAACCAGAATTTTGTATGAATACATCATCCCACGAGTGGTACATTCCAAAATTCATATATCAACCTTGATTTAATCACTATAACAATATTAAGCAAAAAATATAAATTATTACTCTCCTTGTTAGATAATGTTCTCCTGGTGTTCGTTTATTACGTTAAAATATTGTTATTTAAACATGTATCAAAGGAAATAGTGAGATGGAGATCTACAATTATTTATACAAGAAAAATGTCAACAGAAAGAAATGACATGCTTTTAAAGAAATATACAATAAAACTACTATTAAGTATGGGTGTCTATATTCTTGTTCAGAGTAGGGATTACGTATTAAAGGAATGGTGGAAATAAATTATATTTTTAAAAAAGACACAAGGTGAAACGAGTATCCACTAAAATATTTAAATTGTATATCCAGTAAAAAAAGGATAATTTCTAATAAATTGGCATAAAACAGTCAAAAAAGGGCAATTTCTAATAAATTGGCATAAAACAGTTTTTAATAAATATAACATAAACCAACAAATTTAATATTAGGATTAAGTGGAAAAGAACTCAGCTCAGAAGTTGTGTTGTGACGATATTGTGTTTAAAACAAGGAACCAGCAAGGAGTACATCTTCAGCGCACAAACAGAAGAATATTTCACATCGTCATATATGAAACGCACTAATTCGTATAGGGTGCGTTCAGCCTACCTTGTAAAGCAATGATTGCGATCCAGTTACAGGTTCATCCTTTATTAGAAGCCGGGAGGCCTGGTCAAAAAATAATTTGAAAATTAATTTTGTATAACAAATCTCAAAATTATATTTGTTGTTCACTTTATAACACAAAAATTTACTTCTATATAAGAGGCGGGAGTAAATAAATATATTCAGAGCAGTGTATGTGTAGTTCTTAAACTTCAGAAAATTTAAACACGTCATTTTTGTCCCTTAACCACAACTATCAACCAGTAGCACACAATTTTTAATAATGGCTATTACCTTCAATATACTCAAAGCACAAATTCTGATGGTAACAAACTATGGTGTACATTGCTCTAAGAATTAAACAACACCAGTGTGAAAATGAACTTACTCCCAACTCCATTAATGATTATGCCCAGCTATTAATATTTTTGTTAAGGGTACAACAATTTAAATTCAGAACTACAAAATCACACTAAATATCTAAAAGCAAATATTTGGACACACTGATATTCTAGTATCTGATGTCATAAAATAAACATTTAAAATTGCGTACCATTTTACAAAAAAATAATTTTAAACTATAATGCAGGCAAAGATATTATAATATTATTTCTGTATCTTAATTTCAGATGCACGTTTGTCCCTTACTTGGAAAAGGTTTGTTTAACCGTCATGAATTGGAAAGGGATTGGATTAAGGAAATGGCAGTATCCTATTAAGCGATATCCAATCCTACTGCCCCGTACCAACAACTTTCATGCTGCCATCAATCAGTTTCCATACGTACTATTTGTGCTGCCATCTATCAGTTGCAATATGAACTAATTTATATCATACCAATCGAGTGTGATAAATATTTGGAAGTTTTGTGTAAATGTAATATCACATACCACTTTCTTTATTCTTTCTCACGAAGTATACCAATAGGCTCTCTTCAGTTCCATACAAAACAACGACTGTGTTTCTGAGTGGTCTTGGTGGCAGTTGAGATTAGTTTTCTTGGAAGTGGAAACTGAATTTGTTAATGTTATTTATAAGATAGTGTAATTGCGTCATACCGTGAATATTATAACAATTATTTATTTTAATCCGTCTGATCACAATATTTAAAATTTCTTATAATTAAGATAATAAGATATCATTGATGTTCCATATCGATTGATCGATTTACATTTCGGAACATTTACACAACATGTTTCGGTTTTTATAAAACCATCATCAGGTGTATAATATTTACGAACTTAAAACTCAAATATGATTCCATTTGGTGATGTTTTCATTGCGTTTGTTTTTCCATTTTTGGCGTAGGTGTTGTTTTTTCTTAAATTTTATTAGATGTACATATTGTCAAAGATGTAGGAGTGATTGTTCCGATATGTCCAGAAGTACTAGTGTCTTCGAATAGGTGTGGGTCAATATTTTATTATATTTAGACACGTATCACGCTACACAGGAATAATGTAAAACTTCCATGTTTCAGAATTTATTAACCACAGCCAAAAATCTTCCCATGTTATTTTTGGTACATCTCAGGAAACTTAAAATAAATATGCACGTCAATTTATGTGCCTGATACGTAAGCAAACAGCTGTAACTCCAAATTACATAGACGCCTTTCTAAAAAATATTACAACAAAGTGCTTGGAATCAGATTTTTATAGCGGAACGTATGAATTTCTGTAAATGAAAATGTATGTTTTATAAAGTATCATCCATCATTTGGACTATTGTAGACTAACATCAATGTAAGATACAACTGTTTACCTGCAAGCGACATGAATTATACTTTATATATGTATACATGAATACACGAAACGCAACATGTTTCACGCTTAAGGAAATATTACAACGGGCCGAGCAGAATTTAAAATATTTGTGGCATGCCTGACTAATATGGCCGAACAGTACAATTTTACAACGTCTGTTTTTAAGTTTAAAATTATATTCAGACGATGCCGCTATATACACAAGCAGGAAAACATATGAAGACAAGAGACGCGTTCTCTTGGTTACAAGGAGGGAAACCGCTGGAATATGTTGAGACGCGGAAGATTACTTTCCCGAACGGTAATACATTATTTTAGAGGAAACATAATTCTAAAAAATGAGGAATATAAGATCTAGAGTACTTTTATTCACAATGTCATACAATGTGTTACTTAGCTACACCGTCTAATTTATTAAAGAACTGGAATAACGTCAAACTGTGTAAGGGTAAGTAAGATTCAACAAATGAAATAGCCACCATCTTTCCATCACAATTATACAGAGGCGCGTTAAACATAAAAAGATTTATTACATTAAGTGAGAAAATAAATGCTGCTAAAATACATCTTAACATAACTGATGCATATGAACACAGTGAACTTGGACCAAAAGAATCTGGAAGAACTGTGATATATATATCCTAATCAAAGACTGGTTCCGAGAAAGTAGACTGAGAACAGATCTGTCATAAGACTACGAAAAGTATTGTCATTTATGATGACTATCAAGAACATCTGAGTTAAAAAAATCCATTATAAAACTGAAATGTAATACTTCAAATACAAAATTAAATATTTTTGCCTTAAGTCAATAAGTATGAGGGATTAGTTTGTTTTGGTACGGGCATGAAACAAGATCTCAGTAAGTAGGCATTATAATTGCACGCACAACAAAATTTTTAGTTTGTTATAAACGACGCTTTCGGTATCTCGGACCGTACAGCGTCAAATGAGAGGATGATAGTGAATAATGAATTTGAAAGGATGTGGAAGGAGGCGGTCGTGGCCTAATTTAAGGTACTATCCAGACATTTACCTGGAAGGGCAGGACAACTACGAAAGACCTCAATCAGGGTAGTCGATCTCCGGGACGACATCAACCTAGGAAGCTCTGAATACGAAGCAGGAGCACACTCGACCAAAGAGTTTCGTATCCAGAATAATGCACAGATGCAATTGTGTGGAAACCGGCAGGCACGTGATTGATACGAGGAAGTATGATTACTAAACTTCGCATATTTATTTTTTGGTAACTGAAGTTTAGAAGTGACATCTGTGGTTTGTAATTAGTAGTAAAACCTTGTAACCGTCCACTGGTCGTAACCCCGTGGAGATGTAGTCGTCTCAGGGTGGGTGTTCGGATGCCTCTCCTCCCAAGGGCGATGTGGGTATCTCAGGGTGAATGATTACTGGGTCCTAGCTCGTCGGTGGGTGGACTCTTATCTCGGGTGTTAACGGCCTGGCTCGCATCAGCCAAATGATAACTCGGATTGAAGTTTTGAGGAAGTCACCACTATTTATTGACACTCATTCAATACTGAGCTTACAGAAGTAAAACCCTTACGTACTCACTGTCTCACTAGATGGTGCGCAAATGAGAGACCTGTCTTTAAACAACTTAGGAAACAACCAGTGGATATGGTACGTCTGTGTCCTGATACTATATACGGAACCAAACTTTCTGAGCTGGTGTTACAGTTTAAAATATAAATATTTCAATGGAACAAGTCCTCTTACATAACTAAACAAAATGAAGTACCAGAATATACAAATAACCAAACAAGTGAACAAAAAATAATACTACGTGCGTATTACATGTTTCCATAACGAAGATGGGCAAACGTTCTGCCAACAAGCAAGCACAAACAAGACGGATCATTTGAGCTACAGAACTCCAAACTCTGGTAACAAACAAAGCCATTTCGTTCGGAACACGGAAACGTAGCCCTCAGTATAACGCGAATGTAAAGAGAAATATTACTGTGTAAGATTTGAGATTTTCACAGCGGTGAGTATGAAGATTTCTGTCTTCTGTACGCAGCGCAACAACCCAGAAGACAGAAATCTTCAGAAATATCACTGTTATAACTGACAATTATTTTGTTTAAATATGACACGTAAATTCATCACATTTCTTTACATGGCGTTAAATTTTCTCAGGGAAAATTCTAGTCGGCAAACTGGATGCAGATGGCTTAGGGTAGGGTCAGGTTTTATACGTCAAATGATAGGATGTTTAAATAATACCGAACTGGAAAGGATACGGAAGGTAGCGCCAATGACCAAATTTAAGGTACTATCCTGGAATTTGAATAATGTGACTGAGAAAAAACAACCTGGTCTCCGGATCGAAATTTGAACCCGGGGCCTCCCGAACACGAAACAGGGGCGACGTTCGATAACAGAAAATGTTAAAAAGTGAACTAATTTGGTGGTTTTGTCGTAGGATTTCCTTCACGAAGTTACAAGAACAGATTAGTATACAATACTATTTAAGCTGTTGACAATTATTTTAGACTGAGGAAACGGGGCAACTCCAAGAATATTATTATTTTAACATGTGTCTAGAAATGAGAAGAAATTCACACAGAAGTTTGGTGGGCAAACGTCCATGCCGCCGTTTGGGGAACAAATAAGATACAAGTGAAGGGTTAAAACGGATTTTAGAGAAACCGAATGTTAGCTGGATTTAGTTGGCGATTGAAATATCCTCGTAAAATGGGCCACATTTCACTAGTGCTACAAATATTTCGTAAGGACTAAACAATCAAACCCAGACATTAATAGAATTGGAATCCACTAGACGGCGTGCAAAAAAAGAATAATTTTTGGTCCATGTATATTGTGGTAGTTTAAGTGATCTTAATCAATCATATTACGGTGAGATTTCAATTTCTCATGGCGGTGCGTATGAAGATGGCTGTCATCTAGGATGTTGCGCCGTGTAGTCTAGCAGAAGTTTACCGACGTTTCAGAAGTGCTTACTGCGTCTATCATCACTCATCTCTCTGAATATGGCGCCATTAAGCACCTCTGAAACGTCGGTAAACTTCTACCAGACTACACGATGCAATATCCCCGAAGACAATAATCTTCAATCATATTTATCCTCATCCACATAAATTCAAACTAAGTTTTAAGCACTGAAATTTGGCAATTTAGTTACTTGGGCAGCTTATGAGCAGTTTGAATACCAGAAAACACGGCGACATTAGTAAATTAAAGAAGGGTGAAGGATTCACGCCATTCACATCTTTATAAAATAGTAATGCCCTAACCAGAATGGATTGGAATGTA